TTACACACTGCATGACTTTACAATAGGAAGAATCTCCGACAGCTCTGTCTAGTGCAGGGTTGCCAGGTTTTCGCTACAAAACCCGCCCAATTACTACTCAAAATATAATATAACAAAATACAATTTTTTTTTGGCGGGGTTCTCGTGGTACAATTCACATTCCAGGGCCTAAATATCACGTTATTGGGGTTGCTTCAACCTGCTGACATAAAAAACAACCAGCGGCAATCGCGGATTATGTCAACACTGGTCCTCAAACTACGTTTCATATAACTCCTCCCCGAACTTCCCGCTGCCCTGTATCTTGGTCTCTCATTGGCTGTAGGTCATCGCCGATGTGTTTTTCAGTCAGAACTCATTTCACACAGCGTGATTGTGAATCGCCGACAGCTCCAGATATTTAGCATACCAAATATTTCACGGGCGTCATGTCGGCGATTCCCTCAGAATTCTTTGATAAACTCACACTGCGTGATTGTCACTCGCATGAACGAGCACCGATTTGCTTCCGATTTCAGGCATTTGTCGGCGAGTGAAAAATCGGGCTAAAATCGTGCAGTGTGAACTCGGCATTAGTCTTGTTAATGTCACACTGTTTTTCTTGGCTCTCAAATTCTGGTTCCTTTGTCGTGGTTGTTTTGCCCTGTTTGTATTTAGTTTGGACTGACGCCCCTGTGCATGACCTTATGCTTGTTTATGGACTATGGATTTTGGATTATCCTTCAATAAAGAGCTGCAATTGGATCCTCGGCCTTCGTGTCTCTGAGCAGACCGTGACAAATGCATTGCTGAATTTTCAGCATCATTACCCGAGTCTTCAGTGTAACATGATCCTTCAGAAATCATCATAGGCTGATTTGCTACTTAAGAAACATTTCTTTCTTTTATCAAGGCTGAAAACTGTTTAATATTGCTTATTATTTTTGTGGAAACTGAAACATTTATTTTCAGAATTCTTTGATGAACAAAGTCGGTAACATCATAAATGTGGTGTTTTTTGCTTATCTGCTTCTCCCATTTGCTCTTTTACATTGAGTGTCACTAGAGCAGGGGTAGGCAAGTTCGGTCCTAGAGAGCCGCAGTCCTGCAGAGTTCAGCTCCAACCCTAATCAAACACACCTGAACAAGCTAATCAATCTCTTCAGGATTACTAAGGCTATAGACGGGTGAGGTTTTTATTTATTTATTTATTTTTCTTTTTTTCTTTTCCCCTTTCCAGGGTTGGAGCTGAACTCCGCAGGACTGCGGCTCTCTAGGACTGAACTTGCCTACCCCTGCACTAGACTAATACAATCAGATACAATTTCTTAAATATTTATTACAATATATACTGATAAATTTAACGTTCACTTCAATGGTATGAGATGACTGAATGCTTTTAGCTTATTTGAGCTTTCACCAACTGAACTGCAGAGGTCAAGCTATTAAAACATAGTGAAGTAAGCTACAAACTCGATCATAATGCACAATGATTCCTATGTATTCTGATTTATTTCACTAGTTAACAGTAAACCTGTTACCTCACCTGAGTATGTTTGTCTGCGGTTATGTCCTAACCAATGTCTAAATCAAACATACACCCTAACTTTACTGTCACATTTAATCAATTGAATGCATCCTTGCAGAATAAAAGTATTAATTTCTTTCAAAAAGACCCCAAACGTCTGACCAATATTGTAATTAAAATGTACAAAAATATAAAAGCGAGGAAGCAAGAACTGTACTGTGGAAAAATGAAAGACAAACGTACTGTGCATGAAATACTGCAAACTTGTGTAGTGTTTTGTACAGTACAGTGTTGTGTTGCACTGCTGTTGTTCAGCTGTCAGTGTGACACACAGGTGAGATGATGTGTGAGGTGAGCCTGAACTCCTTCATCACTTCCTGCTTCTCTCAAGCACTGCACATCTGCTCCTGCAGCGCCGCGGCCCGCTGAGAATGATCACAGACCAACCACTGCTAACCGAACACCTGTGAGCCTCTAAAAACACTCAATAACAGAGCTGAGCCGTCATGCAATTAGCCCTCAACCTGCTGGCTCCTCACCTCAACATCTGCACACACAGATTTTCATTGCACACCTCGCTCAGAAGACTAGGTCATAACTTCGCCTTTAAAGGGATTCATGAATTGAGAAATCAAAATTATCTTGATTGAGTTTGATAAGAGGTCTTTGTGCTATAAGACATTCTGTAAGTTTCAGAACTCAAAACTTTCTTGTTAGTCTAAAAACAGCTTATACTGAAGCCAATCCGCCAAAATGACAGCTTGTGGAATGTGCCACTTTATGCCGTAATAGTGTGGCTAAACACAGCTTCTGCAGAAGATCAATGCCTGCTTCTATATGGCTGTCTGTTTAACCCCGCCCACCAATTCACACAAACATAAAGAGAAATGACGAGAGGCAAACGCAGGTCTACGCAGAAATCAAACGATTAATTTTATTTGATTAACCTTATTTTTAACGAAGTTCCAGACTGCATCAGTAAGAACTTGGTTCATTGTTCACTTCATTTTACCACGGATTCTTTTCGATGCACAATTTTCAGAAAGATTGAAACTGAAGGACGATGCTGTGCCGACTATATTGGATTTGACAGTAATGTCGCACCACACAAGTGTGAGTAACTATTTTTATTATCAATGGAATCAATGGGAATCAATGGAAGTGACATGTGGCCAAGTATGGTGACCCATACTACGAATTAGTGCTCTGCATTTATCCCATCCAAAGTGCACACACACACCGTGAACACACACACACCGTGAACACACACCCGGAGCAGTGGGCAGCCATTTTTTGCTGTGGCGCCCGGGGAGCCCGAGGGGGTTCGGTGCCTTGCTCAAGGGCACCTCAGTCGTGGTATTGAAGGTGGAAGAGAGCGCTGTACATTCACTCCCCCCACCTACAATCCCTGCCTTTGGGTTACGAGTCCGATTCTCTAACCATTAGGCCAGGACGTCCCGATTATGTTATCTCTATTGCTTTGTCTGTTATACAGATCGTTAAATATATACTGAGTATTAATGTGTTTTTAACTTAAATTACAGCAGTCCTTATCATTAGCCAGTCATAGCAGTGGGAGTTTACTTCCGAGTCTACAATCCGTCACGCCTATACAAACGGAGCGTTCTGATGAGGGGGGTCAAAACAGGACAGAAAATTGCCTATTTCTAAATCATTTTTTGATGTAAAAATCTTGATAACATTATAAGTGGACCTTAGAGAACAGTACCAAATAATAATAAAAAAGTTAGTTCGTGGCCGCTTTAAATTAAGATTAACTCTAATACAGAGATTTTTGCATCAAGTGTGCGTGGTGGGAGCGCTAGTGAGATCTAAAAGGACAAATGGGACAACAGTAGCTCATGAGCAATATCTTGAGCCATTATTTAATCGGACAGTAAAAATAGGTTCATAAATAAAAAATAACCTTTTAATTTCCGAGATAATTGGACTCCACTAGTTGAAATAAACATGCAACATGATTAAAAAAAGAACATAGCCTATATGAAACATATATTGTTTCATAATGCACAGTATTTAACAATTCATAATTTTTTATGTTTTCATACAATAATGATTCACGTGTCTGCATAAAAACATTTATTTTGATGTTTTTGATTGATGTTTAGATTACCATGTAGTTACACTGTAAAATAAGGTAAATAAAACAAAGACTATTGGAGTACGTTTTACAAGAAAATATGATTTCAGTCTACTGTCCCCCCCCCATATGTGAAATTGTTTTCTAGGGTGTGTTGCCACCTTGTGTCTGCATTGTGTTCTCGCAGTGGGATAAAATATTCTCAGCAACAGGTTATCCCTCAGTATGTATCGATTTGGAGATTTAATTGAGACTGAGAGAGGGCCTATCAGTGGAAGAAATTACCATTACGTAACATTATATTATACAATATAACATATTAATGAAAATCATTGTATGCCAATGTGTGATGTATACAATGTGATGTAGAGCATAATATATTACTATAATGTAAATAAAAAAATATATTAATTGTATATGAAGTATTAAATATGAAAACAATTACATTTATAAAAATTGAATACAGAATAATATTCCTGCCAGAGAAAAAAAAATCACTGCATTAAATTATTTAATATAACCATAAAATGACTACATGCCTGTATAAAATAAGATGCAGAACTAAATAATATAATAATATTATATTTTATCATATTATAATTATTAGATATGAAAATATTAAATATAAAAATTGGTTATACAAATTAAGTACAGATTAATATAATGTAATGATTAAACCTGCATAAATCGTGTATTTTCTAAAACAATGATGTTGAAAAATATGTATTCAAAATAATAATTAGATAATAATACATTATAGCCTAATATAATAATTAGATAATAAATTATTAAATATGAAAGCAGTTATATTTATACAAATAAAGTAAAGAATAATATATCAAACCTGGATGAAACATGTATTTTATTTAAAAAAAATTACAGAACGGTACAATTATGTTTAAAATATGTATAAAATAATACCGGAATAATATAATAATATCATAATTATTATATATAAATTATTAAATATGAAAACAATTATGTTTATACAAATTGAGTACAAATAATATAACAATGATGTGAATAAACTATGTAATTTATTAAAATATTGCATTAAACGTTACACTATAATCATGTTGAAAAATATGTAGGCTATCTATGTATAATAATAATAATAATAAATGAAATGATATTTATACAAATTTATATTTATACAAATGGAATAGGCTACAAAATAATATAATGATCAAACAAAAAAATATGTATTCAATTAAACCTTGTGTGTGTGTGTGTGTGTGTATTCGAAATATTTTTGGTGCGTCCCAAACAGATAAACGTTATGTTAAGATAAGTGCTGCTCATGCGTCTGTTGACACCCGCCGGATAAGATTTGCGCTTTAACGCCTAAACAAAGGAGTTATCCGAGCGCACGGGCACAAGCCCCACATGGCGCAACTGCGCATGCTCAGTGCCGGACAGACCGGTGTCCAGTCAGTGTCAGACACTCTGATCAGATGCGTTTGCCTCATATGCTCCAGTCCCGTTAGTTACATTCAGTTTGCCTTCGCGTAATTATTGCCAAACCTGCGGAGTTGATGTGTTTAAACGCACACTGTAGATTTAAATCCAGACATTTATTCACTCGCATATTTGACCTGGGCTGCACCGCACCTGATGTCGGCATAGGCACGCGCTCGCAAGGTAAGACTGTGTGTGTCAAGAGTGTATTTTTCTGCATCGGTAGCAGACTTCAATCTATTTGACTTGGAAATGTGCATGCATTTCAATGCAAATGACAGTTTACTGCAAAATGTCAGATCCAGTTAAATCGCTTTAATGGAGATTAGTCATGTTCCCCAACGGAACCATTCAGTAGCAACTTGTTGAAAGCGTTTAAGTTTGTCTGCAGGTTTAAAATAAAGGTTTTAGTGTTTGATATAACAGGCGAATATTTGAGAGATGCACAAATAGCTTTATATTAGTTCTTCAGTAAACCATCTTGTACTAATGCTTTTAAAGAACCCAGAACCCAATGTACTGATCTGAGGAAGCTGTAAAGGAACATTAATCTCAAAAGTGATATATAGTAAACATGGAAACTCATTGTTGGCAGAAATGGTTGGTTTAACCTAATAAACAATATATTATTTATTAAACATATATTAATCAACAGTAGAGCATTATCTAAGATTTTCAAATAGTTGTATCTCAGCCAAATATTGTCCTAACAAACCATACATCAATGGAAAGCTTATTTATTCAGCTTTCAGATGATGTAGAAATCTCAATTTTGTGGTCCAGGGTCACATATGCTCAGTTTGTTTGCTCTTAACAATTGACTGTTTGGTACAGATGGACAGTTGCAACTTATGATTTTTTTCTTATGAGTTTCTGGGAAAGTTTTAGACCTCAGTAGCTTGTAGTTGGAGCATCTGGTGGTGATAACCTTCATGGCGATCATCCCTCTGAGTGCTGCGGCCTCAGATGTGGGTTGATGGGCATTTGTACTTACACTTTAAGCTCGTAGATCAAAAGGAATTAAAGCCTGACTGACAAATGCTGGTGAAACCTGCTGACACACGCGCACGGAGGCTTTTGTCTTCAGCGGGGACGCATAGGAACTTTGCACTGTGTGTCGACATGCTTATTTTAACAGCCACATCTCTTCCGTTTTATAGTGCAGAATCATTTATGCACGTTAAGTGGCCTCAAAACATAGTTGCAGACTTGATCTAAATGGTCTGATTGTCATTGCATTAGCTACAAAATATCAAACTAAGAAGTATTAAGCATGTACTACTAGTAACAAAGTAGTTTGTTAGGGTTTAAATTCTAAAACAACATACAATCTTAGAAAAAAGGGACAAGAGCTGTCACCGGGACAGTATCTTTTTGAAAGGAACTAATATGGACTTTCTAAGTAGATATATGCACCCTTTAGGAGCAAAAAAGTTGCAAATGTGTATCTTTTGAAAGGGTACTCAGTGACAGCTTTTGTACTTTTTTTTTTTCTGAAAGTGTATTGAGTAAGCCAGGGCTAATGATGTTATTCTATGTGGGGTTTATTTGTGTCAAATTCTATATGCACAAACCTTAGTCTTAGGATAAGAAAGAAATCTGTTGAACATGTCCAATGTTACTGTCCAGAAAAACACACACAATACACAATAGTGGGGCACGTTGTCACACTACACTCTTAAAAATAAAGGTGCTTCAAAAGGTTCTTCAAGCGATGCCATAGAAGAACCATTGTTGGTTCCACAAAGAACCATTCAGTCAAAGGTTCTTTAAAGAACCATCTCTTTCTTGCGTTTTTGTAATCTGAAGAACCTTATTTCGCCACAAAGACCCTTTTGTGAAACAGAAAGGTTCTTCAGATGTTAAAGGTTCTTTATGGAACCATTTAGACAAAAAGGTTCTTCTATTGCATCGTGAAGCACCTTTATTTTTAAGAGTGCATATGGGGTACAAACTGCCATTAAACAGCCAATTATTGACTTTTTAGCTGTGAAACAAGTAGGAAATGCAAAATCGTGAAAATACCAAACCAACGTTTTGGTCAACAGAAAGTGCAATTAATAAATTGTGTAAAGAAAACAACAACAACAACAACAACATTAAACACGTGACAACTTGCCTCAATATAAATGTGATGACCTGAACCAACCTAAAAAAACCCTCTCGTCCTGAGAACACAGTTCAAGCTTCAGTTCAAATATGCCTTCATTATATAGTTAACTCTTATCTGAATGCATTTTAGTGCATTTTTATTATGTACACTTGTTAGATTTAACAAAAGTATAATGTTGGAATCTTAGTTTGGAAGACAGACTCATTAAAAAAAATCACAATTTAAGACTTTAAGAGATTATTACATTGTGACAACTAGCCCCGGTCACCCCTATACTGAAAATGAAGACGTAAGTATTGTGTGACTGTGTTTGTTTGTGGTTTGTGCCTCGTATATTTCATTTGTGTTGAATACATTACATCTGTTGTTACTCTGCTGGGATAAAGTGTCAATTTGAGGAAAACTGACCTTAAAGATCCACTTAAAAATCACCAAAACCTGCTTATTCAAAGATATTGAGCAAAAATGATGAAAAAGACACTTAATTTGATATATTCGATCTAATGCAATGATATTGAGACATTTGCATAAGCATACTTTGCATCATTTGTTTGACTATTTTCTTCCACAAAGCTCTTAAAAATTTCAATCAAGTTTAACCTGATGTTACCCCAAGTATTTTTAGCAAAGATTACACTTTTGCTTGTGTGCTAAATTTGGGACCGTATACAGCTATCCTGTTTTCCTTCCGTTTGTCTCAGTGCAAAACGATAGGGCTGCTAAATAATGCACGGGCGTCAGCAGGGCCGTGGAAGACGGGCTGATTATGTTATGACACTGGTGGACTGTGACTTATATTAATTCTGCTTACCTTGCGCTCAGGTTTGGAATGTGGTTTAGTTGCTGATTTAAAATAGTGACTCTCAGTAATACACGTACACATCTGTCACTATATTCTTGGGTTCGCCTTTCGGCGCAATAAATCTGGAAAAAACACACACAAAAGGATACATATTTAGCATGCTGTTACCTACATTTTAGCTCAGTTATTGTGTAACAGTGTCTTATTACAGCACAGTTATGTGGCACAGTGTGATGAGTAATCAAAATCTAATATTTACAGTCTTGTGAAATGATGTTTGTATTGTCAGACCGACTGTCCTAAAGGAATAGTTTTCATATTGTGCAAGGAGAAGACTAAGGCGAGCACTTTAAAAATGCTTCTATTCTGTTTGTTCCTTCACAGGATAATCATCTTAGAACTAGAGCCATGGAGACAGTCATTCACTTTATGAATGACTCTGTAGAGTTTTATAAATGGAGCCTTACCATAGCAGGTATGTGTATTTTTATATTTTGAAGAAAATAAAAATAGCTAAATATTCCGAATCGAATTGGGTTTCGTGTGTTTAAATCTCAGATAAGCGCGTGGAGGAATGGCCGATGATGTCATCTCCGCTCCCCACCCTGGGGATCAGCGTTCTCTACTTGCTCTTCCTCTGGGTCGGACCCCTTTACATGCAGAACCGGGAGCCTTTTCAGCTCAGAAAAACCCTCATTGTGTACAACTTCAGCATGGTGCTGCTTAACTTCTACATCTGCAAAGAGGTCTGCTGATCTCCTTGTCAATCCATTTGAATCTAGTAGGGCCAATCATGTTTATAGAGGCCGCAACAAGCATAGTTGCTTGGAAGTATCATGGTACCAGAAAATAGTATTGGTATGACAGGATTCTTCCTAAATACAGTTGCACTACAATATGTATGGTAAAAAATGTAATTAAGTCCGCATTACGCATTACAAGTTTTTCAAACTTCACACTATGAAGACTGAAATCACAGCGTTCTTATGTGTTTGTGTTCCTTGCGTAAATATATACTGCAAAAACTAATTTCCTTCAGTATTTTTCCTCTTGTTCTCCTGTATACAGATATTTAAACAGCCTTAAAACAAGATAAATATACTCACAAAAGCAAAAGTACCATATCTTCAGTTTTTTTTTTATTCAGTTATTTTTCTTTTGCTATTGGCAAATTGTTGTTTGCATATATTTATGTGCAAAATCAATTTTATTGGCATTTTTGAGCAGAAATCTTAACTAAATGTAGTGTGGTTTAATTTTAAAACAAGACATATTTGTAAATTATATATGTACACAGTATCTATATACATAAGTGTACATATAATTTGCAAATATTTAAAAACAAAAATATTTATTTGTTAAAAAAGAATGATAAAATACTGTTCAAAATATAATAATATTAAATAACAAATATAAAAATATAACTACAAGATTTTGCATGGTACATATATATATATATATGTATATATATATATGTAAAATATTTGTAAATTATATATATATTTATATATTACTATATATACATATATAGGATTATATATATATATAATTTACGAATGTTTAAAATACAAATATTTCTTTGATAAAAAAAATGTATTATAAAATACTGTTCAAAATCTAACATAATATAAAATAATAATAATGAACTGCAGGACTTGTCAACTTCCCACATATGCAACAATCCTGCCTGATATTCATATTATGCAATATCATTTTAGCATTATCAGGTTTTTAAAGTGCTCACTGTGTAAAAAAAAATAGCAATAGTAAAATAGCAGTGATTTCAGCTCAACATGTGCAATACTGTACCACAGACAGACCGCAGACAGGTCACAGACGTTTGGCACAAGATCACTGGTTAAATAAAAAAGTGACACATTTTACTTCTTACACAGACAGTCTGTTGCTTGTTTCGCAAGTCGAACTTTTACATGCACAAACAAAAATACATGCTATGAAGGGAAACAGAACTGTGCAGATTATGTTTTCCCAAAGCATAAGGAATAAACTGGCAAATTAACCTTTTGTGGCCATTAACCTTTCCATGAGCACAAAATAATAATAATGAATAATGTGTCTTTGCCTCTAGCTGCTTCTGGGCTCCAGATCGGCAGGATACAGCTACCTCTGCCAGCCCGTGAACTACTCCAATGACGTCAATGAAGTCAGGGTAAGAAATACACTGTCTTCCCTTAAACACGTTTACTTAATTGAAGACACACCATGCTAATGTTTTTATATAAAGCGAATTATACACAGACTAACCCTATCAAAAACTCCAGATTGAAGCCATGATCTTGTAGACCATTAGCACCTCAGAGGGTACAGTTGTGGGGAACAGGGAGAAAGTTGAGTAGTGCTCTGTGAGAGCGAGGCTTAACTGTAATCAGGAGGCCGGAACGCAGAATCCCTGGATTCGCTTTCACTGACGTCGGTTAGAGTTCCCTCATGCTGTTGTCTTGGCATGCATTGGCACCCTCATTGACAAGCTTGGTTTCCCTGGTGACACGAGGACAGAGATGAGGTCAGGAGTCTCCCCACCTGTAGGCCACGCCTCCATTCATATGGCTCTTGCAACCAGTATACCTAAATGGCAAATTAAATGCAATGAATAATTTTATACCTATATCCAAAGTGACTTCAGCAAAGCTTAGGTTGTATGTCTTGATCAAGGCTTCAATGGTTATGGGGGTTCACAGATCACACATAGCTGTTTTTATACTTGACAATGACAGAGAGACAGACAGAACATAAAATGACAGAACAAATGATAGATCAAATGACAGACAGTTGGATGGATGGAAAGAAAGAAAAAAAAACAGAGACAAAACGAAAGAAACAATAGATAAAATGACAGAATGGATGGATGGATGGATGGATGGATGAAAGGAAAACAAGAAAGAAAGAAAACAAAATAAACAGACAAAACGACAGAAACAATAGATAAAACGACAGAACAAACAATAGATTGAACGACAGACAGTTGCATGGATGGATGCAAAGAAAGAAAGAAAAAAAGAAAGAAAGACAAAACAAACAGACAAAATGACAAAGAAAGAAAGAAAAACAAAGCAAACAGACCAAAAGACAGAACAAACAATAGATGGAATTACAGAGTTGGATGAATGGATGAATGCAAAGAAAGAAAAAAAGAAAGAAAGACAAAACAAATAGATAAAATGACAGAAACAATAGATAAAACGACAGAACAAACAATAGATCAAATGACAGTTGAATGGATGGATGCAAAGAAAGAAAGAAAAAAAGAAAGAAAGACAAAACAAATAGATAAAATGACAGAAACAATAGATAAAACGACAGAACAAACAATAGATCAAATGACAGTTGAATGGATGGATGCAAAGAAAGAAAGAAAAAAAGAAGAACAAAATGACAGAACAAACGATAGATCTAATGACAGAGATAGATAGATAGATAGATAGATAGATAGATAGATAGATAGATAGATAGATAGATAGATAGATAGATAGATAGATAGATAGATAGATTGTTGGACCAACATATTTTTGATGTTATATCCAACTAAATCTCCTTCCCTCTTCACAGCTTTCTTTGGCGCTATGATTAATTCAGGCATTCATGTGCTGATGTATGGCTACTATGGCTTGGCAGCGTTTGGACCAAAGATCCAGAAGTACCTGTGGTGGAAGAAATACCTCACTATTATTCAGATGGTACAAAAACACTCCTCATCCCTCTTAAAATGGTGTATGGAAAATTATTATCTACCAAACTTACATGGATTGCTTATTAGTTCACTTAGCTCAAGGTACACAATTCTATGGAAGCCCGTTTCTGTCATAGAATAAAACAATTTAAATAGCTTAATTGCACCTTTTTCTCTCACAATAATGACATTGTGCCCCTTGCAATTCTGAGTTGATACCTCACAATTTGGACTTTATTTCTTGCAATTCTGCTTTTTTTGTAAAAAAAAATAAATACACTCTGACTTTGAAATTTCCATGTAATGAATGAAGAATGTAATAATCAGTTATAATTACTACATTATAAATAACAAACATTATTGATCATTCATTCTCTCTAAAATACATTTCTTGAGTCTATAAATGTACAATCTGGTGTATTTTTCTCAAATGTCTACTACGATATGCATAGTACATCCAGTTACAGTTGCATCGGTTGAATACAGTAAATCATTGTGTTTAAATTATTGAGGTAAAACAGCATCAACCAAACAGAACATTTCTTGGTGAGCAAAATTGTAATTTTGTGGATACCGGCGGTGTTTCTGCAGATAGCGTCAGCGCTATGGTGGTACTACATCTCTAAGGGGGTGGAGTTTCTGGACACAGTGTTCTTCATCATGAGGAAGAAGTTTAACCAGGTCAGCTTCCTGCACGTCTATCACCACTGCACAATGTTCATCCTGTGGTGGATCGGCATCAAGTGGGTTCCTGGTGGACAGTGTGAGTATACCCACACACATATCCATTGATTTAGCAGACCTAAATATATCTAAATAACTAAATTACTTCTATTGTTGTCAAATTAAGCCACTTGAGATTATTATAGACTAAGCCAAAGCCTGAAGTCCTAATGCTAACCTAAGGCTAAGCCTATATTAAGCCTAAACCTAAAATGAGGCCAAAATATATTGTAGAATTGAACAAGAAATTGAACAATTTATCAATAGGACATCATGTTTTTGTGTTTTTCATGCTTTTATCCAAAGCTACTTAATGGGTAGTTCACCCAAAAATGAAAATTTTGTCATCATTTGAAGGTGGGTTTCTGGTCCCTTGACTTCCATAGTATTTCTTTCCATACTATGGAAGTCAGTGTGGACCAACAATGGTTTGGTTACCAAAATTTTTCAAAATATCTTCTTTTGTGTTTAACAGAAGAAAGAAACTCATACAGGTTTGGAACAATTTAAAGGTGATGACATGATGACAGTTTTCACGTTTGAAGTGAAGTGAATTATCCCTTTAATTTGCAAAGTATACATTTTATGAGTTCATGTATTTCTCGTTTTGCTCATATGTTGCATTAACACCAGTGTGAGGAAATTAAGGTGGATCATCTGAAATGATAAAGGTTGAGAACCATTGTCAAGAACTTCTCCACTTTATAATTGTTGTGCATTTTGAGGCTTGAACAAGAAAAAACCCAAAAACAGAAGAAGGATGAGGGGATTTGAGGAAAGGGGAGGAAAGGTTAGGAGAGCTTAGGGGGATGTGGAAGGGGTCAAAGGGTTTGGAAGGGTATACCCTTTGGGGATCAGATGGTCACAAATGTTGGTGATACAGTACATCCAGAACATTTCATATTCAGTGATTGATCTTTAATAGCGTTCACTTAAGCAAAAAAGCGTGAACTGAATGGCATCTTGAAGCAATTTGCTTCATTCATGAAACTCGAGCGGAAAGGATTTTTGTGTCTTTTGAAAAATTTCCACATGAATGTGACTGTTTATGTACGAAAATTAATTTCCATGAAACAGTGTCATTCGTGAACGGCATCTCCAATGGCACCAGCAAGACATCGGAGGTCACGGAAAACGGAATGAAACAGAAGAAAGGAAAAGGAAAGCATGATTAAAAAGAAACAAGACAGGAAGTGAAACACTGGGTCTCGTGGGCTTCAAAAATACCCATGTCTCAACTGCTACAGACTGTTTGGTAATTTGTGAATGGAATGTTTGTGAAAACAAAATTTGTCTTTTTTGTTAACTTTTGCTGATTGTATTTCAAACTAGGGACATTTCTAACACAACCAATCCTGTGTTACATCACTTCCTCAATCATCTCCTTTGAGTTGCTTAGGCTACTTGTGACAGTTTTATAATACAAAATGTCCTATCTGGTTTATCGAATCAAAATAGCAAACTACTTTGAGAAGTTTAGTTATCATTTGGGGGGAATTGTCAGTTTTGAACGATTTTTCTTCTTCACAAAATCACATGCTTTTTCACATAAACAGAAAGCTAATTCTCTTGAATGTTTTTATTTAGTATAAGCAGCAGATGAAAGATTCTTACATAAATGGTTCAGCTGGACGCTTCACATGTCCTTCCTCTGGTCTCGATGACAGCCTGCTTTCTTGACTGTTGAATCCTGAAAGACTGAGCCCTTAAACAACAAATGATAATGAGAAAGAGTCAATCACGATGCGAGTCTGAATCACTTCCAGAAAACATGAGGATAATCCCAATTTCTATTTTATTATTGTCTGTTTGAATCTTTATTTGTAGTGAAACAGTGGTGTTTAAGGGCTCAGGGGAATGTTATTACAAAAGAAAATCACTACATTTGGTGGGTTTATACTCTTGCATTAGATAATGTCATTATTTTCATTTAATTCCCTGTACAAAACAAGTTCCTGAGATTTGCGTGCCGTAATGACGGTGTCATGACTATATACTCAGGTAGTTTCACATGTTTTTGTTCCACGTGTAAAATGAGACACATATACTGCAAACAAACACACACACACTTGTGTCCTTAATGTCTGTTCAGGTATGTGTTCTCTCTATTGCTTTGCGCACGTAGCTTTTTATTAAGTTTTTGCAAGTTATATTACATTACAGTTATACTAATTTTGCTTTTTGTTCCCTTTTATGAAAAAAAAGTTCCCTGTGCTAATAGAATCCCACGATTGGAAAAAAAAGAAGGTAGGCAAAAGATGTTTGAAAACAGCTATATACAGTGGGTACGGAAAGTATTCAGACCCCCTTAAATTTTTCACTCTTTGTTATATTGCAGCCATTTGCTAAAATCATTTAAGTTAATTTTTTTTCCTCATTAATGTACACACAGCACACCATATTGACAGAAAAACACAGAATTGTTGACATTTTTGCAGATTTATTAAAAAAGAAAAACTGAAATATCACATGGTCCTAAGTATTCAGACCCTTTGCTGTGACGCTCATATATTTAACTCAGGTGCTGTCCATTTCTTCTGATCATCCTTGAGATGGTTCTACACCTTCATTTGAGTCCAGCTGTGTTTGATTATACTGATTGGACTTGATTAGGAAAGCCACACACCTGTCTATATAAGACCTTACAGCTCACAGTGCATGTCAGAGCAAATGAGAATCATGAGGTCAAAGGAACTGCCTGAAGAGCTCAGAAACAGAATTGTGGCAAGGCACAGATCTGGCCAAGGTTACAAAAAAAATTCTGCTGCACTTAAGGGGGTAATAATGGGCTAATTATCATTTTTGGGCGAACTATCCCTTTAAGCAATCAAAGAGGTTGTAGATTTCTGTTACAAACCGGTTTGCTTGTGTTTAGATCCAGTTCCACGTCACCATTGGCCACGCCGCTCATTCTCTCTACACGGGCTGCCCATTCCCGGCCTGGATGCAGTGGGCTCTGATTGGCTACGCCGTCACATTCATCATCCTGTTTGCCAATTTCTACTACCAGACATACCGCCGCCAGCCACGCCTCAAGTCGGCCAAACCTGCCGTGAACGGCATCTCCAATGGCACCAGCAAGACATCGGAGGTCACGGAAAACGGAACGAAACAGAAGAAAGGAAAAGGAAAGCATGATTAAAAAGAAACAAGACAGGAAGTGAAACACTGGGTCTCGTGGGCTTCAAAAATACCCATGTCTCAACTGCTACAGACTGTTTGGTAATTTGTGAATGGAATGTTTGTGAAAACAAAATTTTTTCAAGTCTTTTTTGTTAACTTTTGCTGATTGTATTTCAAACTAGGGACATTTCTAACACAACCAATCCTGTGTTACATCACTTCCTCAATCATCTCCTTTGAGTTGCTTAGGCTACTTGTGACAGTTTTATAATACAAAATGTCCTATCTGGTTTATCGAATCAAAATAGCAAACTACTTTGAGAAGTTTAGTTATCATTTGGGGGGAATAGTCAGTTTTGAACGATTTTTCTTCTTCACAAAATCACATGCTTTTTCACATAAAACAGAAAGCTAATTCTCTTGAATGTTTTTATTTAGTATAAGCAGCAGATGAAAGATTCTTACATAAATGGTTCAGCTGGACGCTTCACATGTCCTTCCTCTGGTCTCGATGACAGCCAGCTTTCTTGACTGTTGAATCCTGAAAGACTGAGCCCTTAAACAACAAATGATAATGAGAAAGAGTCAATCACGATGCGAGTCTGAATCACTTCCAGAAAACATGAGGATAATCCCAATTTCTATTTTATTATTGTCTGTTTGAATCTTTATTTGTAGTGAAACAGTGGTGTTTAAGGGCTCAGGGGAATGCTATTACAAAAGAAAATCACTACATTTGGTGGGTTTATACTCTTGCATTAGATAATGTCATTATTTTCATTTAATTTCCTGTACAAAACAAGTTCCTGAGATTTGCGTGCAGTAATGACGGTGTCATGACTATATACTCAGGTAGTTTCACATGTTTTTGTTCCACGTGTAAAATGAGACACATATACTGCAAACAAACACACACACACTTGTGTCCTTAATGTCTGTTCAGGTATGTGTTCTCTCTATTGCTTTGCGCACGTAGCTTTTTATTAAGTTTTTGCAAGTTATATTACATTACAGTTATACTAATTTTGCTTTTTGTTCCCTTTTATGAAAAAAAAGTTCCCTGTGCTAATAGAATCCCACGATTGGAAAAAAAAGGTAGGCAAAAGATGTTTGAAAACAGCTATATATTTTCTGTATGACAATCTGAAATTCACACTGGAAGCGGTGTTTGTGATCTGTACATTGTGTACAACAGATTCTTACAAATGTCAATGTTCCTCTTATTGTAAACAAATATATCAGTTTATACAGAACTGAATGAAATAAACAGGATGTCAACCTCATTTAATGTCTTCCCTCACTCTTTCATGTGTGAATTTGCTAATTAGTTATAAAATGTCTCTCTCTCTTTCTCTCTGTTTTGTTTTGCTTTGCTAATTCAAGCATTACTGTGGAAGCCTGTTTCTGCCATGGAATAAAACAATTAAAAAAAAAAACATTCTGAGGAAAAATGTCAGAATTGCGAGACAACTCAGAATTCAGACTTTTTTTTCACAATCCATAAAGCCTCATTATACTTTTTTTTTTTTTTTGCAATTTCAAGTTTATATCGCACAATTCTAACTTTTTCCCTGAATTCTAAGTTTACATCTCACAATTCTGTTTTTTTTTTTATGTGTTTCTGCCATGACTTTTTAATTCAGTGTTTTTGTTTGTTTTGCATTTTTTGCAATTGCGAGTTTGAACAATTTTGATTTCCTGAATCTGAATCTGAATTGTGGGACATACTGTAAACTCAGAATTGTAAAAAATAAAATAAAAATAAAAATCAGGATTGCAAGATAAAGTTGCAATTACATTTTTTTAATTTAATTTGTTTTATTCCATGGAGGAAATGGGCTTTCATACTGTAACTGTAGTTCATACTTAAATGAAGTATTATGGGTGATTGACACCGAGGATTATAACTATAACTGTAACTGTAATGTTTTAATAATCCCTCTAATTCTATAATGATAATGACACAGAGGAGCAATATCATTTGATTTCAGCTAATGAAAAATAAAAACATTGACAGCCAATCAGAATCATTCCAATATTAATAAGCTAGAGTATTTTGAAGCAACAGGTGACAAAACTGCATTGCATGCTCATGATCAACAGATGTTATTGTGAGTTGGTGTGGATGCTAATATAGTTATTGTTCTTTGGTCTTTAGACTTACAAATCTTGCTACAGTCCTTAGCTCTTCTCTTGCAACCATCCATGACATAGTTCATAATGGACTTTAATATGAGAAGGGGATGACAGTCCTATGTCTGACCGCCTATTTTAGCAGTTCACAGACCCTCAGCCTCCATCTCTCTCCTTCCTGGACCTTTAATTAAGTGTCCTCCATCCGCAATGGAGCTCCCAGACCAGAGCTTTGAGGGGTTGGGCAGACAGATCTGGACTAATCAGGCTGTAAATTGGCTTTCGCTGTAAAAGAGCTTATATCCACGTCAGAGTATGTAGCGTTATTCAGGTCACAGTGGGGGAAACTTACACTGGTATCAAACTAAAACTATTAAATAGACCAGATGGATACAATAAATATGACTTTACACATGACAATAGCAATATCCACAATAAGCGAGAAATGTTCTATATGTGACCCTGGACCACAAAACCAGTCATAAGGGTAAATTTTTCGAAACTGAGATGTATATATCATCTGCAAGCTGAATAAATGAGCTTTCCATTGATGTATGGTTTGCTAGGATAGGACAAGATTTGGTCGAGATACAGCTATTCGACAATCTGGAATCTGAGGGTGCAAAAAAAATATTGAGGAAATTGCCTTTAAAGTGGTCCAAATTAAGTTCTTAGCAATGCATATTACTAATCAAAAATTAAGTTTGAATACATTTACAGTAGGAAATTTACAAAATATCTTCATAGAACATTCATTTTTCTTAATATCTTAATGATTTTTGGCATAAAAGAAAAATCAATCATTTTGACCCATACAATGTATTTTTGGCTATTGCTACAAATATACCCCAGAGACTTAAGACTTGTTTTGTGGTCCAGGGTCACATATAGTATGCCGAATAAGAAAATAAATGTCCATTATGCAGGAAAAAATAAGTAAATGCTGCTCTAAATAGAGAAAATGTACTTCATGTTTTTGGGAATTTTATATTTGACTACTAGTAAAATCAAAAACTAGCTCTCTTAATTACATTTCCAAGGACAAACCATCATATCTTTTACTCTTTAAAATGTCTAATTTGTATAAAGTGCTACGGTCTTTGTGGCCTATATCCTTAAAATGTCCAGCTACAAACAAACCAATCAAATTATTTTACACATTTAACATTTAAATGAAAAATGTAAATGGCCACAGCTGTGGTCATAAAGATTTTTCATATGTTAGCACAATCTTTGATCTAAAGTGGTTTTTTAAATAATGCATTATTGCTTTATTATTTTAACTGTTAACTTTAATAGGACAGTCTAAACTGTCTGACAATTGATTATTATTTTGACATGGTATAGCCAAACTGAAACTACGTTACTGAGACTAAACTGTGCTCTAGTACCTTAAAGAAAATGAATTTGTTTACTCCTACTAGCTACCATCTTCAAATTCTTGCTCTCCAAAGCCATTGTACAATTCCTCTCTCTCCCTGTGTCTGATCAAGGATGTCCGTCAGTAAGAGGATTGCAAACAGGCCAGAGATTTCCACTGGCCCTATTAACAGAAAGTGGTTTCACCTTTCTCTCAACCTGTTCCTCTGATAATACACTTTATAAACACTCCCTGAGATAATTAGCTCTTCTCTGTATCCATACAAAAAGCCACCTATCATGGGCTGTGTATATACACAATAATGCAAATTCAATACTAATGCACTTCTAAATGGTGCACTAAATCTGAATCTTTTGAGTAGAAATAGCATGCAGTGTGCAGACGGATGGATAGATATTGGACTAATTTACATCTAAATCTATAACTCAGCTGAGACCCCCATATCTTATTTTGATATAATACACTCTAAAAAAATGCTGGGTTAAATACAACCCAGTGCTGGGTAAAATAGGGACAAACCCAGCAATTGGGTTGTTTTGACCCAGCGGTGGGGTTAAATGTTTAACCCAACCTTCTGGGTAGTAACCCAACCGCTGGGTCAAAACAACCCAATTGCTGGGTTTGTCCCCATTTTACCCAGCACTGGGTTGTATTTAACCCAGCATTTTTTAGAGTGTAGGATATGCAATTTCTTTTATTTATCAGATTATTTCCAGTTGAAGTACACATACAGACAGCGCTCTCTAGTGTTCACAGGCAGTATTACAGACTGATTTCAGTGCCAATGATCTGAGATAGATAGACTTTGTGATCCATTATAACATCTACAGTTACAATTCCGTATAATTTAGAGCATTTTATCAAAGTGATAGTTTTTAATATCTGAAAGACTGATTTAAATACAGACCAAGATTGTTATTTTAGTTTCATTGAAATATTATTAGAGTTTTTAAGATCTTTATTTTTTCCAGTTTTATTTTAAATTTTTATGAGTTTTAAATATTTTATAAAAAAACATCTCTTTTTTATTTTTGAACATGAACATTATATATTTTTAAATGTTTAAATGCGCTTTTTATTCATTTTTAGTTATTTTAATACATCATGTTAAACTAAATGAAAATGTTGCCTAGCTGAAATATAGTAAGTTTTATTAAAATTGTATTTTATGTCACTCAAATGTCATTTCAAGTAACAAAATTTGTTTTATGGTTTTAGTTCTAGTCAGAGCCGTTAAGAATCTGGTTCTAGTTAACTAAACTAGGCCCTGAGAAATTAAGAAAGCAAAAAACTACCTTAAAAAAACAAAACAAACAGTACATCTAAATAGATTTGTAGTGTCCTAAAATGATAGTGTAATTACATTTGCAGTAAAAAAAAAAAAAGTTCACAAGATTCACTGCAGAGGTACACTGCCTGTTGGGAGCACAAACTGCAGACTGACCTTTCGAATCTATTCATGCACAAAAGTGTGGGGGAATGATGCTGCATTTCCACCAGTTTATCTGTGAAGCAGCAAACTTCAGCAGCATTCAGACTTCCTCTTTCTCAGGTTTTAAAGGGAACTAGACTGTATACACCGAGCTCTAAAAAATAAATACAACTAACAATTAA